TACTTTTCTTTCTTTCTTTTTTAAGTTATTTTACACAACTGGGTAAATATAATTCTTTATACTCCATGTTGGTCAGAAGCAGAAGTCCCACACTATTGCTTTTATTCATTCTAAAATTACCCCTGAGGCAACCTCTAGCTGATTTGCCTTCCCGGGCGTTCAAGTTATGTCCCACGCAATAATTACTGTTTTTGTTAGTGCTCTGGTTACAAAGATGAATATATTTCTCCTTTTCCCTCTTATTTTAACATGCAATTTTTATGGTATGCAGTGTTTCTGAGGAATGAGTGTATTGTGGTATAGTGTTATAACCTGTCCAACTTAAGAACCTATGCTATGGTTGGCATATACTTTAAGCAAAAGCAAAGACTGCATAAAGAGATATTTTTACAAACATTTTCAAAAATGAAACTATATGGTCTGATCTTCTAGGGCCATTTTTATTTTGTATAAGTCATTGTATTTCCTTTCCTGTAGTTCCCATAGTTTCTCCAAAACTTTTGCTGATTTTCTATAATAGATTTATTGACAATTCAGAAATATATTGTTATTTTCATTATAATGATTATTACTAGCTATTATGTATTGGTTGTCTATTGTAAGTTAGGTACTCTGCCAGGCACTTGATACAATATCGAATTCACTCTTCATTAGGATATATATACTTTTTTTTTAAATCCATCTTTATAGACAGGGAAATGGATTCAGGGAAGTCAAATAACTTGCTCAAGACCCCAGGGCTAGTAACTGGTATTATTAAGATTCCAAACCCAGGTCTGTCTGATTCCAAAGCCCAGCTCCTCATGTTGCTTTGTCCTCTGCTTCATGAACCGTAACGGAGCGTGGTGGTTCTTTTCTCTAACAGGAACTCCCTTATTTTTCTTTCATTCTCTTAAAGAAGAGAATAAAAAGAAAGTAAATTAGGACAAGACAGTTTAACATGCAGCAGAGTAGGTCAACTAAGTACGCATCTTGAGTTTTCTGAATTTACACACAGATTGTGTTCAGGGTGATTTCACGCGGCTGTCTTATACCTGAACACCAGGAATACATTATGCCCCATAAACACAGTAAACTGAAAATATGCCAGAATCCCCTGTTTCCTTTTAAAATAACCTTTTCAGTTCGTACCAAAAGACAGGTATATACTTCTTAAGCACACCCGGGTTTTTTTTTAGTCTCAACAAGAAGTGTATTTCACCTGGAGTCCCTTTCCTGAGCTATGCAAGAACTTCTCTTAGGAAGGACCTAAACTAGATGAAAAACTGAGTTTTGCTCTCATATAGTTTTCTTCCTTGGCCCTTTTTTAAAAAATATACATATATATTTTTTTGTTTCAGAGAGGACAGGAGAGGAAGAGAGAAATAGAAACATCAATGATGAGAAAGAATCATTGATCGGCTGCCTCCTGCATGCTCCCTGTTGGGGATGGAGCAACCTGGGCATGTGCCCTGACCAGGAATCAAACCCATGACCTCCTGGTTCATAGGCCGACACTCAACCACCGAGCCACGCCGGCCAGGCTCATATAGTTTTTTAAATAATGTTGTGGTATGGGCTGAGCAAGCATGTTCCCTGGAAAACGGAGGATAAAGTTATAGTGACCTCACAATGGGGCATTTCATTTTCCCACATGTTGCTCCTCCACAACCAGGAAACCGCTTTTCATATTACTTGGGGGCTGGGTATGAGCCACTGGGGGCGGGAGGGTTGTGAACAGGAGCCTGTCAGTGGACGGAGTCAAGGAACAGGAGTCCAGAATGTCCTCGCCAGGGGAAAAGAAGCCTGCATCCATGGACAGGGCCCACAGTTTATCTGAATTGCAGTCAAGGTTTAGCATCAGGTCATTGGTGCCTATCACTGTGGTCAGAAGGGATTATTTTTATTAAGCATTTCGTGTTTATCCAGGGACTTGCAGTCATTAATCATTTAACTCTTGTTCCCCGGGAGACTTCTGTGAAGTGAATGGGAAAGAAACAACTCGATTCTTATTTTACAGATAGAGAAACTGAAGCATTTTTGTCTACCGCTATTACACACTGAAAGAGCTAAAGCCATACCTTAGAGCTTGGGAGACCCAGGCCAGGAGTTTGATGAGCTTTTGTTCTACCACAGAAGTGAGGGTTTTTTTTGTTTTTTACACAAAATGGACTTGCATATTTTTCATTTTAAAAGCAACATGATTGATGCTGAGGTGTAGTGAAGGAAAAAATACAACAGACTTCACTTATATCGTCTGAAAATTGTACTGAGTTCCCACAAAAATTTTGGAATCCAAATATGCAATTAGGTTTAAGTAGTAAAGATTGTTAGGCATTGCTAATCTCGATCTTTCTAAGAGAATATAAGCAAACACATCCAATGTGGTTGTGACTAGCCAATAGCAAGTTATAAAGGGACTTTTAAGGGGATGGCATGGGGATTTTGCTGCCTGGAATTAATCTGGTGGGCTTCCTGGAGAGGGTGTGCTTTGAATTTCAATTAAAAAAACTATTTCAAAGATGGTGTGTTCTTCAGCCCAGATGCTTTGAAATGTCTTTCCTGTTTCTATGCAGTGTAAATACCACACAAAGAAAATTGTCAGGTATCACAAGAAGAAGGAATTGACTGAGGGGTCCACAAGGGCACATGTCAGAGTAATGGGGAGGAAATGAAGAAGTTTTCTGACAGTGAGATCTTTCAGATCTCTTCACAATGAGGTAGTTCAAAGGGCAGATGGGTTAGAGTGGCAGGGGGAAGGGTGTCAGTGGAAGCCATTAAACCAAACTAGATAAAGCATTGGAGGATCAGCATGCCCTCTGGTGGGGCTGGGAAATACAGGGAGGGCCAGGACTAATTGACTTCCTTTGGAATAAGACAGACCTTGTATTCAAATCCACTTAGAAGTTATGTGATTAAAGTCTCAGGTGCCTTTTTTTAAAAATGGTATGATCTATCAACAATTAAATCTAAAAAACAACATAAACAAAGAAGCAGAGCAGAAACAGATGCATAGATACAGAGGACATTTTGACTGTTGCCAAATGGGAGGAAGGTGGTGGGATGGTGAAAAAGGTGAAGGGATTAATAAGTACAAATTGGTTGTTACAAAATAGTCATGGGGATGTAAAGTACACATAGGGAACATAGTCAGCAATATTCTAATAACTATGAATGGTGTCAGAGGAGTACGAGATTTAATGGGATGATTATTTAGTAAGTTATGTAATGTCAGGTGTGTACTAATCTAATATTGTATGTCATTTGTAATTGAAAAATAAAAAATGATTAAAAAATAAAAAGGTTTTCAAAGGGGAAAATGGTTTGAATAAGACTAACCTTATAAGTTGGCGAGTGAAGTAACATAAAATGAAAATTACACCAGAGAAAAATTTGGGTAATATTGGGTCTGAGACTTATACATCATTGGAGATGATTTTAAAAAAAGAATACACAGTTTGTTTATAAAATTAGGTAGTATTTACTTAGAATGAGAAAAGATATCACAACAAATCACTAAAAAGTGCCCAACAAACAAACATAACAAAATCCAATAAAACAACATGAAGTTTTAATTTATTCACTACCTGAAATACCTCTATGTTATGTGTGTGTGTGTATGCACAAGTATGTTTATAAATACACACATACAGATATACATATGCTACATATTTTGATGGCTTCTTCACATGACAAAAAATTATATCATGTAAATATGTATGAAGAGAACAAAAACATATTTCAACTTTCCTCCGGTATGATTCACCAAACTTTATTTTTTATTATTGAAAGTTTGGGAAATTTTTTCAGCACCACAACTTGTTCCCTGTGACACATGCAAAATTTCATAATTGTTAAATTTGGAAAAACTTCTATCAAGGTTTTTTTGTTTGTTTGGAGATATATATATATATATATATATATATATATATATATATATATATATATATAATCTCCAAGTGTGTGTGTGTGTGTGTGTGTGTTTACTGATTTCAGAGAGGAACAGAGAGGGAGAGAGAGATAGAAACATCAGTGATGAGAGAGAATTATTGATTGGTTGCCTCCTGCATGCCACATAATGGGGATCAAGCCTGCAACCCCACGAATCGAACTGTGATCTCCTGATTCATAGGTCGATACTCAACCACTGAGCCACTCCGGCCGGGCTCTATCACAGTTTTAATGAAAGAGTGGTAAGATTTAGATTAGTCTTCCATGGACTAGCTTCTGATTCTGTACATTTCCAATCCTGTTTCTCTTCCGCTATCCTCCTAATTTCGGGGTTGGGCATTGTAGGACACATTCACATCCCACCATGACATATCTTGGTCTCCCAGCTCCCTGGATTAAGAAGCAATGACAGTGATAGGAGTGTTTCTAGAATTCGTTCCCACAACCAGGTAGCTAGCAATCAACGATACACAGAAGTGATACGAACCACATAATATATCCCACTCCACTCAAGCTAAATGTCTCTTCAACTCAACTCCAAAATCAATCAAAGTGAAATGGGACAGAGGGACAGGCAGGGAAGTATTAACTAATTGGTGTTAAATACCTTAGTTTTATAAACTTTACAAAAACATATAACTAAACCCACACAAGGATAGAGCCCCCACCAGAGACTTGGAAGGGACTCGTGCCATTCACTTCATAGTCACCTGCCTCTATGTGTCATATCCACATGCTGAAGAATTCTGTCCTTCACTCTGGCCAGTCTTGCTGGAAGTGAGCAAGATGGTGGTGGGGATTTGTGGTTACAAAATCGGGAGATTCCCCGAAGGCAATGACTTTCTAACCACAGAGATTTTATAGATCTCCTTCAGCAGTGGTGAATCTAAATGAAATCGAATTTTGAGGATCTGATAATGGCACATCAGAAAGAAACTTTTTGTTTTTCTTGTATTTTGCTGTCTTCTTCCCTCAGAATCAGCTGGTTATATTTTAGTTCAAAACTCCTCTTTTAAATTGTTGTGATTTACTTGACTCTGAACTATTTTTTTTTTTTTTTTTTTTTTTAGAAAATCCCTCTTGGAGCACTTTGATCCCTTGGAGTGTTATGGCACCTGGACGGGATGGAGGTGAGCTGGTAAGTTTGTCAAATCTGCCCAGGGGCCAGTCCACCTTGCCCTGGCTAGAGATACTTTAGAGGCCTGTGCGAGCAGCAGTTGGTGTTTGAAACAGGGGCCAAGTGCTGGGGTGGCCATTCCAGAATGTATCCCCTCAGAAGCGTGCTGCCCAGGCTCTTGTAAGAAGGTTAAAAAAAATAAAGCTGCCGCCTATTTGGAACATACGCTGGCTCCTTCCACATCTGCAGGACATTTAGCTCCTTGCATCTGGTAATGTTTGTGCAAATATAATTCCATATTCACTAATAATTCCTGGGGCTAAAGGCCCCCCCTTGGGTAACCTTGTTAATATTCTCTCAAGGCCTGGTGTGAACGCCTCATAGCATTTTGATTAGAATTCAATCTTGTGTTTTTTTTTCCCTCTCTGTCTCTTTCTCCCTCTCTCCTCTCATACTTTTCTGGCCCCTGGTTTCCTGGCCACCCACATCAGGAGACATTCTCCTCCCTTCCACTCTCCATTCTCAGTTTCAAGGAATTTCCTTGTGTCAAAGGCAAAGTGTGATTGACATATTTTTCCCCTCTTAAGAGCAGTCATCTCAGTGTTTGATTTAACCATCTCCTTATGGGGCTCATACGATCATTACCTGGGTGAAAAAGAGATCCCCTACTCACCCTCATGCCCAAGCACCAGGCTCAGACCCACATAGCTTCGTGTTTTATATTTTTATAGACTTTTAAATTGCTACTCTCCTTCCTTTTTTCATACCTTTTTTTTTTTTTTTTTGGTTGGCACTAGAAATGATTCCCTGGTGCCTTGTACCCTGAGCTGTAAAGAATTTTAGTTATCCACAAACAGGTAGACCAGCTGCCTCCTGCCAGTGTCCTCTGCCTGCCAAGAATAGCGTTTGCTGTTCTTTAGACCTAGGAGAAGGAATGGATATATAACAAGTTCTCTAGATTTGAATTCACCACCTCTGGCCAGGTTGTATTCTTTGGGTTCTGTAGTCTTACCTGACCTGCTTATTTGTCTTTCAAGAAAAGAAAACAGAAAACAAAAGCAAATTAGCCATAGCATGAGAAATTAAATTTCAATCAGGAAGAATTTCTTGGCAACGAAGTTCTCAATGTTGGAGTGATTCTGGAATGCATGCACAGGCTCAGGCCGCCATAGCAACGAATCACTGTGGGTTCAAAGGGTTTCTGCCTGAAGGGGATGAACTAGATGACCTTGGAAGGTCACTTGCAGCTTTTTAATTCAGCAGCGATCCCCTTCTTCTCTGTGAAGGGCCACACTTCTCATAGTGATGGAACAGACTCTCCAGAGTGGCCTGAACCACAGCCCAGTTATTTCTCTTTAATGAATCACATCTCCTCCTGCTGATAATGATGTGTGTCTAGTCAAAGCTCCCCATTGAAGGCGGCTCTGTCGTCATGCAAGAATTATATCTCAAGTCACCTCCTGCGCCCCCAGTCCCATTGTTTCAGAACAAAGTGAAGTGCTAGAAGATTAAGGCTTAAATTTTCAGTAACAGAATTGATGTGTTTTTTTTTTCCTGCTGGGATTTCAGTAATAAAGGTAGTTTGAATAAAAAGCTGTAAGTATATAGCTACAGTACCTTAATTTGTGGCACAAAGCCAGCTTTCAGTGACTTTTCATTTTTAATCAGGAGTAATGGCCTGTCAGTAGCCATTGCTAAAAGCATTTTTATTAACATAGTGTGTCATAAATACTTGCTTGTTGTAATTACCATCCATGTTATGGTAAACAAAGCATAAAGCTAACCATGCCAAGCGGGCATATGTTCTCATATGGCCAGTAACAGCAGTGTATGTCTTGTAAGTTGATGTTTTAGCCCATTGCTTTGGGAAAACTTGGCTGTAGAGGAAGTTTTAGTGCTTGCCAGTATATAAACACCCATAAGAATACATGTCAGTCCAGGGTTCACCCAGACCAGTATCTGAGTCTGAAAGAATTCCAGGATTGTGTGTGGAAAGTAATGAGTCCCTAAAAAAATACTGGTCACAAAGGTTAGCATGGGCTTCAAGCCATTTCTAGCTTATCTCAGTTTTCCTGTTGCCGGTTTCTAAGATCCATTCACAGAAGTCAGGACCTAAAGAACTCATGTGATCTACAATGTACTGAAATCTTTTCCGTGCCTAACTTAGATTCCACTGTATGCCCTCTTGAGATAATAGGTTTTATAAATTCACTCCCTGCTTTGTGAATAGTACTTCCTCTTATTTCTTGTATCTGCTTCTTTTAAACTCAGGTTGTCTCAGGTTTGAGAACTCCATGATTTGCTTAAAGAGTCAATGGTTCACTTCTAAATCCTCCATGATTTGGAAAACTTCAATCAGATTTTTATTACTTACTCTACCCATCTGTCCATTCCCTCCAGATGGGTAAATGAGAATTTTCAAAGTTTGTCTTCATGTAGAATCCCTTTCTTTCCTCCTAAATGATGATGTTCAGAACCTTCTTTAGTACCTAAATCATAGTGCCTAGTATTGCATACTTCAGTTCATGTCGGTGTAGGCTGGGATTATTTTTTAGAAGAGATGCTATATATTCATGTTCTTTTATTCAGCTGTTCTGCAGTATTTCTCTGTTTAAGATAATGAGACTAATTTTATTAAATAATCATCATTAATAAGTTTAATACCTAAGCCAGTAATTTTTAATTTTTCAAGTGAAAATTTATATGGAATACAAAAATATGAATATGGTATAAACAACGGGAGTTGGTGGACCACTTGGCCTCCCTCTAGTCACAGAGGTACTCCATGAAACTGGAGAGTTCCATGAAACATGCCTTGAAAATCGCCAAGCTTACCAGCCACCACAGTGAGCACCAACCCTCTTTTAAAAGTTCACTTAAAAAAAGCTGGGACTTAGTCTAGAATTCATGTATTCACATTTTCTTAACCAATTCTTTCTTTACAAGACAAATACTTTTATATGCACCCTTTACTTATGATCACTCAGATATCCCCCAGGCCTCATGGTTCATGAATACATGAGCAGGTATACATGGTTCAGCACAAAGCTTACTGACCTGGTCACCTTCACCTGTGGAATGGCAGGACCCGGGCCAACTTCGGAGGTGTTCTTACCCTGCAGTGTTTCTCAGGGGATCTCTAGGAAGTGTCTTGCTATGTTGCCACCGCCCCCTCAGCAGTAAAAACTTAGACATATTGTCTCTGAGTGTGAAGTGGATTTGCTGCTACAGAAAGTTCTCTGTGGTTTGGTGCAGACCAGTGCTCTCTGAGGCCACAACCGCCACCACCACACTGCCTCTGGGTACTGCTCTCCCCTGTGCCCAAGAGTGGACACAGATCCTTCCTTTAATACGTCTTAGTACATCCACCAAGTGGTTGCAACATTTAATATCACTGTGTGTGTGTGTGTGTGTGTGTGTGTGTGTGTGTGTGTGTGTACAGCCTTAGGTATAACCGAATGGAAGTATATACCAAAGTCATTCTCCAGCTGGCAGCTGTACATCCTATGCAGTCTGTTTGCTCACCTATGGCAGAAAAACTTTCCACCCCCCTAATCCATTCTCTCCTTTTGATACAGAAAAACAATTTTAGCTGGGGGATGAAGCAGGCTAAAAAGATATTTTTCTATCTTTTTATTAAAAAAAGATATAACAGCCTGTCTTGCAGTTAGGTCTGCTCACAAGACTAAGTTCTGGCTAACACAACAGAAAGGACTTCTGGGGAGGCTCCTTGCAGGAGCTGATACAACTGGGCCATGTTTCACTTGTCTTTTCTGTTGCCCAAAGTGAGTATGTGATGATGGGGGTCCAGCAGCCATCTTAGAGCAGGAGGTGGTTTTGAGGCTGGAATTCAGGTGCTGAGAATGGTAGAGCAGAGAGAAAGTCATAGAACCCCTGATTACATGGTGAAGTCAGCGCAGTATCCTTGGAACAGTTACTGTGGGACTCCTTTGTGTGTGTCTGCGTTTTCTATAATCTGTAGGCAAACCCAACCATAGCACAGAAGCAATGAGCCAGCCTCCCTCCCTTGCTCTGGGGCTGCTTAGCTCCTGACCTGGTTGCATATGGCAGAGCCCAGCTTCTCTCCATCACACGGGAAAGCCCTTTAGTGTGTCTAGACTCCTCAGAACGTTTTCCCAAGAGAACCATTGCTCAGAGAGAAGTGATTCTGTCCTTACCACAGTATAAGGCCCAGCTGCCAATTTTTCATCTCCTGACCCAGAAACTGTCTCTTTCCCAGGATAATTGAGAATTATAACGATTATTCCCTCAGATCCCACTCTCTGCCCATAGGGGTGTGTTCTCACCTGATGCTACCAAATAGTAGGTACATCAGGCTCAAGTTTTAGCCACAGCTCAGTTCCTCCATCTGATAAATGGTGAAAAGCTATACTAATAAAAGCATAATATGCTAATTAGACTGATGACCTTCCAGACGAAGCCGGTGCTGCGAGGGCTGAGGTAGCCACTGTGGCTGCAAGGGCCGAGCCCCTCGCATGAATTTTGTGTATTGGGCCTCTAGTTTTAAATAAACATAAACCACAAATAGTTTTAAAATATACTCTTAGGCATAGTTTTGGAATCCCTACTAAAGTCGTTCTTAACTTTTATTTTTTTTTAACTTTTATTTTTGGTTCATCTTATTTTTAAAAAATATATTTTTATTGATTTCAGAGAGGAAGGAAGAGGGAGAAAAAGATAGAAACATTGATGAGAGAATGATTGATCAGCTGCCTCCTGCACACCCCACACTGAAGGTTGAGCCCACAACCCAGGCATGTGCCCTGACCAGAATCAAACCTTGAACTCCTGGTTCGCAGGTTCACACTCAACCACTGAGCCATGCTGGGCAGGTAACTCATCTTATTTTTGGCTCATCTTACCCAAATATGCATCTTCTTAGATGCACAGCAACACGAATTGTAAACCCAGAAATGCACGCAGACTGGGACATGTACACATGTATGCACACATAGACTTTTATATATACTCCCACATCGATACATATACTCTGATACACT